TGCAAATGTTCTTCACTTGTTCCAGAAACCGTACGACTACCCCACGCATAACTGTTTCGGATATGCAACATGTAAATTATCAATAAAGTACTGCATACAGTTATTGGTAGCAATGAAATGAAAAAACGACTCGCTCAAAGCATCATTTTTCTTTATAGTTTTGATAGCCTTCGCGTACCTTGTCATAACTAAAATGAATTACACCAGTCTTTTTTAATTTATAACCTAAAAATTCTTAAAACTCTATCGGCGTATCCCATAAAAATTAAAATAAAACAGAGACGAATTGATTTTTGTTGCGGCATTACTACAACACCTGAATAAGGAAAGATAACTCTTCAGGAATTCGACAAAACTCTTCAGGAATCCGCGCAAGAAACGTTAAGGAAAAACAGGTCATGCAGGTCGAACGTCGCATAAATTTACACGTCTCGTTTAAAAGTTTAATCGGAATGTGACTACACGCTACCTAAAAGTTTCCCTTTTCCCTCCTTGATCATAAATGAATTCATTCGTAATTTCCCGCGTTATCCTTTCCAAGTTTTGCATATCATTAAAGCATGCAAGAACTGTTATTAAACAAGAAATACTCTTTATTATATTTTAGATCGGAAGCATTTTTAGTCACCACATCCAACAAATTATTGCAGTACATTCTAGTTATAACACGGTTAGAGTACACGGTGACAAAGAGTTTTGAACAAAGTTGTTAAACGCCTTAATTAATTTGGCAAATTCTTATGTCTACGCAATCTTATGAATATGAGGGCTTCGAAAGGTTGATAAATACCTTTTAACTAAAAATTTGCAAATACAGGAACCAGTAAGCTACAATTTTATTCAAACGAAATTACGCCTTTTTCTGAAAATAAAGTTTGAAGAAAAATTACAATAAAGATACCTTGCCAAAACTTTGAACTACAGAATTACAAAAATTTTCACTTTGCGCAATGTAATGAGAGGTCATTCATGCAAAAATAGATCAGAACATATTCTCAGCCGATACATTCATAACTTTTGATCAAAATGAAAATTACAAATGTCAAGACGTGATACAATTTCTTATGTACGGTTATGCACTTTTATTATGTACTCAACAGATATAGTGGGGAAAATATGAATTTGATGTCTTACGCTCGAATAATACTCCTACCAAAAACAACCAATTCAGTTCAACCAATAAGATGAATAGTTAAAATAGTGTTACAGCTGTCCATTTTGCTTTACTGCAATCTCATTCTTGCCTGGATCTCCTAAAGTACCGCATAGTTACAAATGAATAGCGATGCTATAGATATATAACATAAGCAAATGAAAAAAAAAAAAACTATTCAGCACATCTTTTGCCCATTTGCGAACAGGTGTTTTTTGCACCACGATTTAATTGATTATGGAAGCAAAGTACACTAGGGCTATCTGCCTAAGGTGAGAAATGCCAGGCTTTTACCGAGTGAGAAGGGCACGAAGACTATTTTTATTTTCTTGTCTTTATTTCTATATGGCCAAATACTTTCGAGATTTTTATTTCAAACGAAATTCACTATGAATAATTTTTTTATTACAAAAGTAAAGCCACATCCTACATCAACCATAATACTTAGCTTGAAATTACTGCAAATACGAAGGTATCCGTTCTCTTAAGCAGATAGCCCTTGTGGCTCAGCCATATTGAAATAATCTAAACGAACCAAGCCCACTTACAATCCTAAAACTTTATCAATACTTTTATAAAATAAGATTAAAATTTATAAATATAATCGCAAAATCGTTTTCAAGAAAGTTTCATACAGATTTCTGATGATAAAAAGCAGCCGTTATAAGTATAATCGTAAATACAAGCAAGGAGTAAGCAAAAGCATCTAAAGAGAAACCTGAGGCATCTAAACATAAACCGACGTGCTCGGCAAAAAAAGTTGTTTCGAAAAAGAATCAGACATCGTCGGAATTCTTTCGTGCAAGTATTGAGCAGTGTTTCTTTTTATTCTGGCTTACCTTTTCCGACACTGATTATTCATAACATACCTAAAATCTGCGCTAAAATACATTTTATTAAAATGGCATAAAGCTACATTAAAAAATTGAGAAGATGCGCTACAAAGTAATATTGAGAGACAATTTTAAAAATAGGGATATAAATTATGTTTGCATGGAAATAATGCTGACAACAAAAACACTCGAGGAAAATGGATTCATGGATTCAAGATGCGTAATGATTAGCTTCTGAGCTGATTGTGTTCCGTAATATTGTGATGTGTAATTAATTATCTCCCAAGGATTATTTTGACTTATTTCAATGGCGGGAAAAGATTTTCATCCACTTACACCTGAAGATGCAAAGGCGGTCGCCCGTCACCTCGTAGCGCGATTACCGGATGAAATCGTAAAACTAGCTGACGAATCTTTGTGCTAGTTCCATTTCCAAGCTGTTTATGTACCTTATTTTTCATGCTTTGAATTATATTTAGAAAATTATTTCACTTGGTTATAGCTGAAAATGCAGTTTTTTTTTATTGAAGAATTTAAGGGTAAGAAGAGAATTATGCCCTTTTCTAATTATTCTTGAAGCATTTAAATTTTTAAAAAAAAAAGCGCACATTAATACGGATCACTGAACTAAAGTGCTCGAAACAGGACAGATTAATTAGCTACTAAATTTTAATTTTCGTTGAGTAAAAATGAATTCATCTGCATTCTATAAGGAAGTAAATATTCAAAAAAATTTTTTTTTTTCCCCCTATTCTCGCAGTCATAATATTTTTCTTAAATATTCATCTAATTCATATTCAAATATTCCAATCCATTACAATAAGTAATAAATCGATACAGTAAATACATTGCCCTATTGCATACATTAGAAATATTTATTCTCGTAATAACAGATACGTATGTGTTTTACTCTTTCGTAATTTTCAGTATATATATTTATATTTATAATTAAGAAATCTTTTGAAAGCAGCGTCAAACAGCTGTCAAAATTATATTTTAAAATTATTATTTAGAAATGCGCTTATAATGGTTTTTATATTTACGAAAGATACTTCTCGTTTACTCAGGCTCACTGTATTCAAGTCGATAGGACCAATTGAATGGAAAGGTCGATTTGTTAATTCATTTCCAAGTTTCAAATCGGATGAACGGACTCGCGAATAAAATAGCACATTAAAATACGGTCACTGAACTTCATTGAGCAATGAAAATTTTAACAAAGGTTTCGTACTTTATCTTATGAAAACAAAATATCAGAATCTAATTAAATGTTTCACTTATTAGAAAAATAGAAATATAAATATTTGTGAATAAAAGAAATTATCTTTAAAAAAATAAAATTTAAATGAAAAAAAATAAAAGAATTACAAAATATTGCAGAAATTACATAAAATAGCGAATAACTTATTCGGCACAAGCTCGCTAAATGTAAAACAGATTGTACAGTCAGAAAGCTCCGCCTTGTCACAGAAATATCATCATCAGGTTCATCGGGGTTTAAAGGTTATTCAGACTAACGTGCGAAGTTCAGTGAGTAACATGTATTTTGCCTTTGAATGAATAAACTAGCCCCCCAAGAAAGGGGAGCACTTGAACAATGAGATGCAAATTTAATAAATGGATTGAACGAACCCTCCTACAGCAACGTACCACTTGTGTGTAAGCATTTTCGTGGATTTCCTTTAAGGTTATGTAAATATGAGCCCAATTTCCCCTAGAAAATTCTTCCATGAAATCATGCCTAGTCACCACTCATATGCTTTGCCATATTCAGTTAAATAAGCACACAGAATCATTCTTAAGATGATTAATTAATTAATTTTAATATTTGATAGAGTACTCACCAATTTAAAATTTCATAGAGTACACTATATTAATAATACGAAGCTTTTCAAAAACTAGGATGCTTTCCGTAAGACTTACATGTACCTGTATGTATTGCTCAGAGGGGGGGGGAGAGAAATTCCTGAACGAAAACAATGTAATAATGAAATGTTAATAAACAAATAAATATAACTTTCCGTATCTTATGCAATTTGTCTCCATTCTGATACCATGTGCATCATTTATTTCTGATATACTGATACTGAATGAGACCTAAAAACACTTTTTTTTTAAATATATCTCCCCTTATGATCCCTGACACAGCCGTTTACTTTCCCCTTCCGTAATTAACGTCAGTCTCCTGCTCTTGACCGCATTTGCCAAGCCACCGTTCTTAGCGACATCTATATGGGGAAGGGCAGAGTGCGCCTTAGATTCGATGGAATGCAATGTAATAAATATTGTTAAATTAAAACAAGATGAGCTAGCAATATCGGCATTAAAGAAATAACACCGAAAATTTAAATATATATTATTTAAATGCTGCTCGATTAGTATCATAAAGGCGCCAAAGTTCAGGGTAATTAAACTTGTAAAGACAGTCCCAAAGTTCTCGTGAGAAAGTTTTCCACTAAAGTTAATTTTAAATCCAATATGATAAACACATGGTTAACAAATTTAAATTCTTATTCTCAAGACAATGTGGAAAAATTATCCTGAAGTATCATAAAAAGTTTTGAAGATGAATGCCCTTTATATACATAAAAAAAAAAAAAATAAAATAAAAAAAAATTCCGAAGCTACAAGGTGACCAAAAAAGTTCTCGCCGTTTTCGACAGTCAGAAAGAAAAAGTCATGACACAAATAATAATCACCGCTAATCCTCAAAGTAATCACCATCGGCACTCAGTGCCTTTTGTCAACGAGTGGCTAGCTATTTTCGAAGTGTAGCCAGTTGTTGAAGGATTTCCCACGAAAATGGTTGTCCAGGAAATGTAAAAGGTGGTAGTCTGTTGGCGCGAGGTCTGGGGAGTATGGTGGATGTAGTGTCTCCCAGCCCAGTCGCTGGATTTTGCCCTAGCCTCCCGAGCCACATGCGGCCACGCATTGTCATGGAGGAGGAGTACACCCTTACGACTGACCAAAGCTGGCTCTTTATGCATCAGTGCCTGATGCACACGTTCCAACTGCTACAAGTACCGGCCTGCCATGATGGTTTGGTCCACTGGCAGGAGCTCATAGTGCACCATTTGGCGACTAGTGCACCAGATACAGAGTATGATCTTGCGTGGGTGGAGAAGTCTCGCAGTGTGAGGCACTGAGCCCCGTGGTGATAACCAATGTCTGGAACGCCTGGGTGTGTCATATTGGACCCACTTTTCATCGCTGGTGAGTACTCTATCAAATATGGATGCATTGTGGTGCCGAGTAAGCAATGACAAACAGGCAGCGACACGCTGTTGCTTGTTTGCCTCAAACAGTGAGAAGGGTACCCTCTTGCTCAGCTTGTATGCCTTTCCTATGAGGTGCAAATGGAGTCCGATCGTTTCATCAGATACCTGGAAGTGTGCAGCAAGCTCAACGCATGTTTGGCTTCTGTCACTCTCTATGGCTGTTCTCAGGGCCTCATCGTCCAGCGCTTTTGCATCACCAAGAGCCATATCCCCTGACCTGAAGTTCTGGAACCATTGCCTAGCGGTTCGTTCGTTAACAGCATCATCCCCAAAGGACTGGCATATTCGGTGACTTGATTCTGCTGCTGACTTCAAAATCATTACAGAAAACAACTCCGAACGAGCGCCTTTGACGCGTCCATGTCAATCAGTCGCTGTGTGAGTTATGTTTGAAGTTCAACTCCAACTATCGCTATATGCCGCAATTAGATTGCATTCTGCAAGCTGTTTTCCAGCTGTCTTAAAGTATTGCGCTTCGATAAGCGCTTGATATAGATTTATCTCTGAGCGTAAGTAAAGAAGGACAGCCTGTAGGGGGGAAAAGGAGTGACCAAAGTCACATGAGCAAGGTAAGACTTCCTATCAGCTGTGTAGATTACAGAATAAAAGATGAAATTTACAAAATTCCACGAGTACAAAATAGCATACATTAGTAAAAAAGGGTGTAGGATCATGTTTTCATAATAAATATAAATAAAAATAAATGTTCTAAATGCAATACACTTTTACACAATATTCAGGATTAAATTTTAAAGTCACGTGGTGCAGAAACCCTCCCTAATTGGGTGGTCAGATTTGTGCTGCATGAAAAATCAAAGTATTTCAATAACTGTTGAGCATATAATATTAAATAAAGTACAATTCATAATGCAAGTACAGAACACATGAAGAAATGAAAATAATGAATATGTATGAAATATATTCAGGAGCAGGAATTTTGATGGCGTAGAAGTGTTGATCCATAATGATTAGGAAATTGGAGGCGAAGCCAGATTAAATCTTCAGTTTTATTTTCAGCAACATGTTGCGGCTATACACAAGTCGGCATATTAAATGTGCCTGTTCCAAAGGGCTTATATTTTTGATAGATTTGCAGCAAAAAAGAAGAAGCAGACAGACTGCAGTCCATCTAAGGCTGTAGAGTCATTAGGTTAATTGAAACAGGGATAAATAGAAGGGCTAGCTCATTTCTTTGTTCGACTCCTTGCCGACGCGAGCCTAATGGGGGGAAGTAACAGGCAATAATCTGACGTCACTGTGATGCCACCTGTCCTGATTTCCCGCGTTTAAAACAGTAGTTTCATTGAGCTGCGAGACGATTTTCTAGAGGTTACATATCCCAAATTAATTTTAATGATATATATATCTGTGTTCTAATAATGTATATATTTAAATAATTTATATATATGTAATTTTAGTCAGTTTTTATTTTAAATTCTATATTGTAAAGTATCTTTTACGTAATATGGCTTTTTTGCGCTGCAGTAACGTGCCGTAGCACTTACAGAAGTATGAAAGGATAAGATATTTTATTTCATGGGACCAAAGGATCCAAATGAGAGTTTGCTTTTGACGAAAGAATGGATACACAAATGTAAAAGAGAAGATTCTATTAATGTGAAGAGCGGAAAAATCTGCAGCGAACATTTTCTATGCAGTGTTTATGAAGATGATATGAAAAATCGCTTGTTTGGATAGCCACAAAAAGAAACTGTTGAAATGGAATGCTGTTCCGAAAGTAAATTACGATGACAATAATAAATCGAAATTGATGATGACAATAATAAAACAAATTTTAATGATTTTGAAATAAAACTTACAAATGAAAATGTAGATCATCCTGAATGTTTAAGGATAAACAAGAATGCATTGATAATTTGAAGAACAAAATAATATCCTTAGAAAATTGTATTAAATTGTATTAAAGTATTGAAAAATAGAACGCTAAGATTGCAATTACACAAATTGGAAGATGTCAGCTTAAATCGTTCAAGATAAACATTAAACTTACCATGTCCAGACAAAAATTGCTTAACTTTAAAATTGAGCAACAAGTCCTTACTTTTCAGTCTTTCAAAAATAGTTGGGAAGAATGTTTTTGTAACAGATCCCTTATCAGAAGAGATATAATCGCAGTTCCACCGCTCAATCATTTTAGCTTTGAATGTTTTTTTTAAATAAGATTTTGGAATATTTACATCAACATTAATATCATTTTTAGTTGCATTCTTAGCAAGCCAATCAGCTCTCTCCTTTCCATAAACCCTTCTTCTCCAGATCTCCGAGAGACTGCTGTATATTGACAATAATATCATTACATAAAGAGGTATTTTTAAGAGATTCCAGGGTAGAGAGTGAATCCGTATTCAATTAACATTGAGGAGCTAAAATTTTGAGAGCTAATATTTTAAAAACTACTCGTACGAATTTTACAAAACTTGGTATTCTGGCATAATTTGAGTCGTAGAATCGAAATATGGAAAAAAATTGATATGTTATTTCAGAAAAAGTCCGAGTTTGTGTCAAAATACCTATGTTATAATAGTGCTATATATAAATCTAATATATATCCTAAGTCGCGCTTTCGAGACATGAAAAACGCAGTTTGAATTTTGTCAATCGGCCCAGTATTTTTATTTTTAAGCAGTGTACCTTTCCTTATTTTTGTTTTCTTATACTAACATATATTTTTCTTAGTTATTTTTGGTTTTATGGGTGCCCCTTTACGATCATAAGACCACTTCGTGATCAGGTGGGTGGGGAGCACTCCAGCAATCTTACCTCGTTCCTACCTTTTTACATTGTGCATGACCCGAAAAAAAAGTCGCATCGTTTCTACTTCCAAATAATTTTAGCAAAGTGTCTAAACTACATCTGATGTTTTTTCGCTTTCAACAAATATGCCAAATTTCAAAACGCACCAATATATAAATTCGCGTATATCTTCGGAAATTTTGAATAAAACAACTAATTTTTTGCAGTCCCGAAAGCGCGACTTAGGATATATATTAGATTTATATGTAGCATTGTTCTAACATAGGTATTTTGACACAAAATTGGACTTTTTCTGGAATAACATAACAATTTTTTCCATATTTCAATTCTACGACTGAAATTATGCTTAGATATTAAATTTTGTAAAATTTGGTCCGAAATTTACAGAGAAATTCAAAAATTTATCTTGGAACAATTTTTTGTTTGCGCCAAGAATAATTTACTTGGCGAACTTCTTAATATATGGCAACCAATTTTCCTTTCCCTTCCATTATGCCGGAGCGGGGAATAAAGACACCTCGTTCCTACCTTTTTGCATTGGCCATGAGCGGGAAAAAGGTCACTGCGTTCCTACCTTCAAGTAATTTTAGCAAAGTTTCTATACCACATTTGATGTTTTATCGCTTTTAACAAATATGCCAAATTTCAAAACGCGCCAATATATAAATTCACGTATATCTTCGGAAATTTTGAATAAAAAATTTTAATTTTTGTACGTATGCTTAGAAATACGTCTACTTTAGGATGATAGTAAAATTTTTATAGATTATAATTCAAAAATGTTTTTGAAAAATTTATAAAAATTATTTTAAAATACAAATTTTAAAAATTGAATCATAAAAAATGAGTTGAATTTTATTTGGAATGAACCTAAATTTCGAAATGTGAAAGGAAGAATCAAATAAGTTTAATAAAAAAGAGAGATTAATAAATATATACCAAACTCAACATTGAGGAGCTAAAATTTTGAGAGCTAATTTTTCAAAAACTGCTCGTGCAGTTTTTACAAAACGTGGTAGTTTGGCGTAATTTGAGTCCTAGAATTGAAATATGGAAAAAAATTGGTATGTTATTTCAGAAAAAGTCCGATTTTGTGTCAAAATATGTATATTAGAACAATGTTATATGTAAATCTAATACACATCCCAAGTCGTGCTTTTGAAACATGAAAAATGCAAGTTGAATTTTCTCAATCGGCACAGTAGAACGAGAGATATAGAACTGCCCCCCCCCTTTTTATCCTCCCGCAGTGTGCATTGCTTGAGAAGGGGAATTATTGTCCGGGTAAAACCGGTGACCAGACAAAAGCCCACTGGACGAAAGCGCACGCGACAAAAGCCCACAAAAAAGACCCCACTGAGATAATTGCCCACGCGACTAATACCCACACCGATGAAAGCGCACATTGATAAAAGCCCACATAGATATAAGCGCACGCTGATAAAAGCCAACATTGACAAAAACCCACATCCATATATATGCTACATTAAAATTAATATTTTTACCTTTTTTCTTCAGCTTCGCAAAGCAGATTCAAGAATAAAGATAAAATTAAAAATAAATTAAATTAATAAAAATAATTAAACAATAAATTTAAGTAGCGGAACACATTTAATGTTGGGCTCCGACTGAATTAAAATCCTGTATGTATATAGAACAGAGAGTCAATCAAAATAATATAACTAAAAACCTATACATGTATGTGTAACTTTGTTTTTATATTTACGCGACAAATGGAAGTGCCCTCGTATAAGTCCGACAAAGGGAGGTGAAAGGGAATACTGGCCACACTGCTCCTTTTAATTCTACAAAATTATAAGGAGTATAAAATGTATGTAACTTTTCATCATATACAGAGAATAATTTATGAATAATATAACACTGCAAACAATTTTGCATATAATGAATTTAATACGGAGCCGAACTTTTATTTCAACGAAAAAAAATAAAAGTACCTTATTCTATTGTGATTAAGAAAACATTTGTGTGCGCTATCACAAACACTGTTTTAATGGTGAATTAAAAGCACGGTTTCAAATAATCTAGTTAAATTTTGACAACCTGGATTTTACATAAATTAATTTCATTCCCATTTGAAATTTCATTTTTAATCATAATAATTATTACTCGTAAAAATTTTCAGGAAGTCATAACTATTTTGGATTTCCTGGAAATGTGTGCTGTTTTTAAGTGGGCATTCGTCTTGTGGGTTTTTGTCATGCAGTTTTCTAACTAGCCGCTGGCTATTCAGGCGGGAAACCATTGCGTTCCTTTTCTTTTGCCCCCAGCTGTGTGAAAATGTAGTTAAAGAGCTTAATTGCTTTATCCTCTATCGAACCTGGGGTGCCAAAGAATGGCCTCAGAAGGGAAGGCGTGGCAGGAGAGCAATTAAAGATTGGAATTAATTAAAGGAATAAATTAAAGAGGATTTTAAATGTTTATTGTTAGTTACTAGAAAATAACAATATCTGAAATTCCGCTTGTAACTGAAGTTAACCCCTTTCTTGCATTTCTTTTGTCCAGTTCTTGAATAACTTTTTATCTAA